GGAATATATGAACCCGGAGTAAATCATAACGTGGCTAAATGTATGAGCGAACTAGAGAGCAGAGAGAGATTCTTTTTTCATAAATAAGAAAATATCCATGGAGAGGTATGGAGCCAACGTGAGAGAATTTAGGTCTACACAGCTGGTTGATAAAATTCATAGATACCAGTGAGAGATTGAGATAAAGGATTAAAATCAAAGCTTTGGGACCTTCGTAAAAACCACGGTTAAAGTGTTAATACCAAGTGAGAGGTCGGGGAAAGTAAAACTGAATTACCTACACTGATTATTTCTACCGAGGATTAAATCGTTAATAAAAACTGATAGGACTCATAGAAATCCTTGAAAAATCATTTTATTGTACTACCTGAATAGAACAAACATCCAATCATGGGGAGAATACCATAGACTAACGAGTAACAAGCGCTCAAACAACAAGGACCGTTGAAAGTTCTTTCAGAATCTTATGCTTCTTTGTGGTAAACAATGAATAAAAGAGCTTATACGCTAAGATTTACGGGAGGATAAAAGGAAGTTCGCTAAGGAGTTTTGAAACCTCAACATATGTAGAAAATAATGTGTTTCATTATTGATTGATCTCACAAGATTCCGATACGCTTTAGTCTGACTCCCCTACAGCGGCAAGACCAAAGTTTTTCCGTCAAAGCTGAAAGATTACGGATGGGGGCTAAACCGTTGCGGATTTTGGCCAAAGGATTACGGACATTTGCTAAAGCTTGATGGGAAAAGATGCATGAATGAAATTAATGTTCGGCAGCAATGTTCTGTATTCTCTCGAGTCGTTATCTGAAGTAACATGACCTCGGTTTTCAGGATAAAATTTATAGTAGTTCCAAAGTTACATCTCTGAATTATGAAATATTTGGTGCAGAACAGCATGAAAGGTGCATGCAATTTAGTGGAATCCATGCCAAATCGGCTGTCCATGTGGTTGGAGAATAGAGAATGGTACAATGCATCGAAAAAATGGAAGTACAATATTTGTGTCATGTTTGTGAATGACTTATACAGCTTAAGTCTTATGATTTTGTCTGCTACGGTTTAACTTTCCTAAGCGACCGGTGTCGAAATACAGAAATCGTACTTTTTAAGGATTCGACTAATAAAAGCAACACTACATATTTGTTACGCTTGATGTGGGGTGATACCAAGTCCATTCCCATCACTGAGGCTGTAAACGCTGAACGTTGGGAGGAAGAAATCTGTCTAAAGTCAAGGTATCGCACAAGTTCGATCAATGCCTACGGTCAAAATTGGATTTACGAGGGGGAGAGGGGGTGGGGGTTGTGGAGAATTTCAAGTTGGGATCGGGTGCAGGTTTGGAGTATTTAGTTGTACAAATAGTAGTGAGCATAAGATAACAGATGTCTGGTATATACATAGGTGACCGCAGACGTAGACGCTTGCAAGCGATGAGTCCCACAGGATCACTAAAGGAATACTAGTGGATCAATAATAAGCTTTTGGAAATCTATCAAAATTCAGTCAGATCCCTATATTTCAGGCCTGGAAAAGTGATATGTTAGCCGAACAGCCTACGAGGCAAAATGCGGACAAAAACAAATATGGGTGGTAAGCAGTAGGGGTGACAACTTTTCAACGTTTCTGGGGGCAACATAGCACTTTACAAACAGTAGAAAAAAGAAGCGTGGAGCTGAACAACGCGTAGATGTCTTGCATATGTCATTTTAGGGTTAGTTCATTCTGAATTAAAGAGAGGTAGAGGACTAAGAGCAATGCGTTGATATTAAGAGTCGGAGGTAAAACTAAAAGAGATAGCAACACACGTGATAAATTTTACTTGAAGGGTGAAGGACAGAAAAAATTTGTAAACATTGGCGGAACTATCATAGACAGCCAATGTAAGAATTCTTGCTGAAAAAGCACTAAACAATGACAAATAATAAAACGATGATAGTTAGAAAATGAATTTGGGGTGAAAGAAGAAAGAGGCCTATAAAATACCTAAAAGTATATTGTTATTTGCACCAAATTCATAGCGAACAATCAAGAAAGAGCTAAAGTGAGCTTTCAGGAACTAAGTAGATCAACAAGAAAGTGGCTCTAGATAATTGGTAAAAGTTCTGCCAGTGTTATCAACGACAAAGGAGGTTGCGTTTTTGGTGTATCCATTTGGAACCGCATAGTGCAGAATTATCGGTGTTTACAAACGCACTTCTCAGTCCAAACCTAAACTGATTATCAGAAAAGTAAATGAGGTTTGAAAACATTAATTTGGTTTTGGAAGACTAGGGATAGGCAACTTTATTACGGCACTGCTTTACAAAGATTTTCAGTTATTGATCCCTTTCATTGGGTACGTGATATTTTAGTGATTGTTTTCGATATCTGTAGTGTATTTAACCTACGCAAAATAATGCAGTTCATTTTTCTTTTCTTGTATTGATGATGATTTCGTCGTATTAATAAGGTGTGAGCTGAAAAGCTGAGAAGCACTGGATCTCCGTTTCGACCTGGTTGGGTCTCATCGGCGGAGCGAATCCATCGATCCAACAAATAGTCAACCTCGGTGGGATTATTCTGGACCTCAAAGTCCCCAATGAACGAGAAATATTCAGTTCTGATGAGCTGTGGTGAGAGCAAAACGCGAGTCTGGTGATTCCAGAATGTTCAGTTGAATGAGTGATTTGAGGATGGTTTATGAGGATGGAGTGTGAAAGATAGTCAGTTAAACGGATACAATTTATTGTTGTCAAGATGGCCTACTAATAAGTAGCGTCACAACATTTGTGAAATAAATGAAACGGAACCCCATACAAAGTCTAATTGAAACAGATATAGTGAACTTTGACAATATCCTGCACCACAAGATGCGTGTGATGTCTTATTTTAATGTGAAATTGATCACCCGCTAATTTTATCGCTGAACCTTTCTTGCAACATACTTCTAAAGACGAACACCTACCAGCAAATAGTTTCACCTGTTGTCGCTCTTATCCAAAATTATTGTTCTTAATTCGAACATCTTGCAGGTGAGATGGAGTACGGCTTAGGTTTAACGACCTATTCAACTTCAATAATTTGCTTGGAGGCCTGCGATTTCTTTGTCCTGAGTGCCACCAATTTTGAACGTCTCATTCAGAGTCGTAGAAACACGAACGCGTTAAAATTGTTGAAAACTCGGGCAGAACATTCAATTATGCAAAGGCTGACGCGGACATTGGATCGCCGGGTTCCATTGTTCCAATACTTCTTCGAACAGATTTATGACCGAAAAGTTAAGGTTAGTAAATACAATAAAATTTGGTATTCAACTGCAAAATAAGATTTGAACTGATAGAATGATTTGTGTTTAAATTGTTATTTGGCATTTTGTATCAGAATCCACGAGAGATCAACGATGCTCACTAATGTTGAATAACAGACATTTGTACGGGATTGTTGAAATTCGGGGATAAAAGTAGTATTTATTGTCACGGGTAAGTTTCTTGGAATATTGGCCAAGTTATACACACAATGTATTCTTATTTCGAGATTAGAAACGCAGGCATCTTTGTCTGGACGTTTGCGAAATAAAAATCGAGGGTATTTGAAAATAATAAATCAGGGATTCAGTTGAAAAACTAAAACTAAGATTCATTTCCTTGGGAATGTTGCGAGTTTCTGTTCGATATGAGTCGCATTTCTGAGCTTAAAATTGTCGCATGTACCCATAAAAACCTTTTTACCCTTTTTTGATCGTTTTCATTTGTCAAAATCCCCGATGAGGCTTCGAAAAGATTAGATGTGCAATAGTAGCTGTACACAAGCGAGGCGCTTGTTGGGTAAACTAAAACAGGTCGGGGTAAACATAGCAGATAATTCCACTTTCGTCCAGCGCAAAACATCATTCCATTCCCGTTGATATCGTTGAGGTCAGCTACCTCAGTTCCCAGGAATAATATTTCCAGTCAGTCAAGAACAACTCATTATGCATTCATACACTACACAGTATACTGCTTCATACGCTCACATTGACGTGCTATTTTTTCACTCGCTTTGGTAAACCTAATCGCCGCATTGATTATGTGCAGCATTAGAATGAATCAACTTCCCTTCTCCATTTCATTGTTTTCCTTCTCCAATACCAAATCATTTTCTCTAAGAGACCTTTTAAGTCTTCTGTTTCTTAGCTATACACTTTGTTTGTCTTTTCCGTCAAACACTAAGGTGGGTGCGTTCCTTTCCCTGACAACATCAAAAATGAACTCTAAATATTCTTGATGCCTGCAATGGCGGATTTTGTTTTCTGTGAATGAATCATATTGTTCTGTCTTCAAGCCATCAGTTTTGCATTTTTAACCGGTCTCCGGACGATGCCGATTGTTCTCTATTCGAGCCTCTTACGATGCATATCAAAACTATTTTACACACAGGAATAAATGTCTGGGTCAACACTCTGTATGATTTCGACGTTCATAAAAGCGACTTGTTGACTCAAGAAATAACACTAACGATGCGTGTGTTCCCACAGCACCATTATCAACACCGTTATGTGAAAGTGCGTAAAAGCACCTCGGAAATCCTACCGAAAAAGAGAAAAACCTGACAAAAATCAGAATCATTTTCACGGAAAATGGAGATCCATATAGGGTAATTCAACAATGTATGAAGGTCACCACAAAGGTGCGACTGGAGATGACGGTCAAAAAGGAACCACTTTAATTGTCCATTCAATTCAAAAGTGACACATATAAGTAGGCTTCTCCAGACTGTAGTCAGCGACACGTTATACTGCTGACCTACGAATAATTTATACTTCCAAAACAGTCTCTCATTGCAGATAAAGGACAAGCTACCGACGGAAATGACCTCATTCTTCATTTAGCAAATTTTTTTCCTGTGGAACCAGTGACATTGGTCGTAGCACCCGCCGCTTGGCCGAACGCATTCGAGAACACCACCCCAGTTGGCTTCGTCTCGAATTGACCAGAACCGGGGGGAAGGCAGAACGAATGAAGAGCTCAAGACCATTTACACGACCACCTGGATGAGATCAAAGCATGTCAAGCATCGCTAACTGTCAACAGCCAAGGTAATCACGCTTCGGTTGAACAACCCTCCGTCGCGCGTTCAAAAGAAGTCAGTCAGGTCTCTGAATGTACCATGTCCAGCGATACGCAGAGTCGCACAAAGCCCGTTATCAAATGGGTGTCAAATCTTTTATGTATACGACTCCTTCGACAGTATAACTGACATTTGCAAAATGATTTGAACTTTCATGAACCCCTTGTCATACTATTCATACAAACGTATACAAACATAGATATGATATACTTTTTTCTTTTTCCTTGGCAATACTGTGACTTATAAACGAGTACCGTATTCGGTTAGTAAATGATGCATCGTAAACGAGCTTGTTTTTCAAATTGGCTTCTTCAGATAGTCTTCGATTATCTCCCAGTATGTCAGTAAAACAAAGTTGTTCGACACGAGGCTGGTCAGTTGTTCTTTAAGTAGCTCAATTAGGTTCAGTGCAAAGCAATTTTCCCAGCCTTTCTTCATCACCTCTGGGGACATGGGCCACTGATCATTCCCAAATGGCTTGAGTATTCACCTTTGACTTTTGTTTCCAATTCTACATAACCGCCCACCTTCCCTGGCCAACAATGGTTACAACCTTGTCCAAAAAGCACAACCAGGAATATCGACAGATGATTACTCAAACCACCCAACCCAGATATCATCGCACCAAACGTGATCGAAACGTTTTCTCCACAGCTTGATCCCTTCCTAAGTATTTCGTTTTCACAGCAACTTCTCCCAGCTGTCTCCCAGCTGTTGGAAACGCGTTTACGCCTTCCAAATCTTTGGATGAGGTGCTTCTCATGATCCTTAAAATTACCGCCTTAATCGTTGTCACTCAAAATCCCACGATCTTCTCAACCACCGCTACTGTGGTACTCGCTACCACAGATCCATTGGTGAACTTTGGCATGAGCGTCACACAATTGGCCTACGACTCGATCACAAATACTAGTCTCTCAGGAGATGGCCAAATCCCTTGGTGGAGTCTGTCTGATCCAGCTACTGGTGAAACCTTCCACTTCGAACTGCCCCGTGTTTCATCACCCTGATACGATATAACTTTGGCTGCTCCAGCTCTCAGTTCGCAGTAAAAAGGCCACTCCTGTGAACTCCGGAATTCAAAATGGTTCCGTCCTATCTTTCACCTCCTTTTTCCCCTTCATGGATAACATTTTATCTCCAAACTTCTAACCTTATCTACATTTTTGCCGATAATGTCACCCAACCTGGTTTTATTTCTTACAACCCTCCCCGTGCTCCTTCAACAACCATCAATCAACCTCAATCGGTTGTCTACGTGTGATTCCCTCAATTTAGACCTGAGTTTAATCGCCGATCTCGTGGCAATAAAAATCGAGTCATTTTCAAGGCATCAATACCCTCGTGTTTGTGTGCCCCGCTAACATAGTTCTTGTGATTTAGAACTCTTTTTGACATTTATTCACTTGTTTGGCAATCTTTTGCAGTTCTAGTTGAAATTTAATTTTCATCTTCGAAACACTGTTATCCTCAAATTATCGATCTGTTATTGCGTGCGTTGAAGAAGACTTACTATCATTTTCATGCTGGACGGTCTTTCAATTTCCCTTAACTTCTAACTTATATCCCTGCCACTCTGGAATACCATAGTCATTTTAAGGCAGGGTCGCCTCTTCCCAAGTTGTACTTTTGAACCACAACTACGGTAACCCCATTCTTATTGTCGCTAATTCATCCCTAACATTCTCTTATACTCTTTTCTACCGATTTTACTACATATTATGAGCTTAACGATGTACTTCACTTTTAGATCATCTCCAGACTCGAATGTAAACGCAATTCACCCACAGTGTGGCCATCACATCGTTCTTCTTCAAATAGCCAAGGAATCATGGAAAAATATTTCCTATTGTGCTCTATTCCCATGTATATCCTTTCACTTTTTCTAGTGCATAATCCAGAGGTTTCTTTTAGAATGAATTTTGATTCATTACCACCGATAGGTACCCTTTACTATACTTTAATGAACCTTACAACTTTACTGTACACAATGCTTGTCACGCATTAAAAAGCCGTTTTGGTACTTTTTCTTCTCTGTCTGAATACTCAACGTTAAATCCATTCTGTTTCAAATTGATCCGTCGATCAGTCAAACTAAACATCTTTTTCATATACGCGTTTCACACCACCGGTCTGTTGTTCATGTACAGTGCGATTGCTCCATCGTTTTCGATCGTCTCGTCCCTCTCATCCGTGACCTTAAACGAGTAAATTACCTCTGATCCTTTCTGTGATTGAATCATATTCCGCGATCTGCGGCGCTTGAAATCCCTCATCCCAACACGAGACTGTTTGATTACCGGCTTGTGCGGTTTCTAATGCTCTTGTTGTTACGTCCAGTCCATCCGAGTGCTGATGGCACTCCTGCCTGATTGCTACGTACTACGGGAACAAGGAAAACCTTTCAGTGACGGTGAAGGAATTCAACGACACTTGTGCAACGAGTGTTACGAGAAGCGGTGCCAAAGCGCTGATTAGCAAATTCAAATCTACCGGAAGTGTACACGATCCGAAATGCAAGGAAATCATATCGGAATTATATCTCCGATAGTTAGCCAGATCGCTTAACGCAAAAACAACCAGTTGGAAAAAATCAAAAAGAGTTTTGCGTGGGCCTACATTAGGGGATATTGTTGTCCGTTATTAAGACAAGTTCAAAGTTTTATTATGATTATCTGTTTACCGAACCCGCTTCGAAAAATTGTGCGTGTATCTTAGACGAGTCAAGCGTTGGCTCGGTGTCATAATCGCTTGAGCATTTTCCATTCGGAATTTCCCCATGGCGCACCGCTCCACAACTGATTCTCTTGGGGTAATGCCCCACCAACAGTTAGGCAGCATCGGATACGCAACCTATCCTCCTCCTGTGCCAGCCCGAAAATCACACAACCGATCGGGTTCATTTATCGTAACAAGGGACCTGGTGCCTGCCCAACTAACCCGAGCGAGAAACCACACCTTTTTTACAGCTGTGAGTTTCAGGCAGGCCCAGTGAACTTCGACTGTGTAGCAGGAGTGCCATCAGAACTCGGATGGACTGGACGTAACAACAAGAGCATTAGAAACCGTACAAGCCGGTAATCAAACAGTCTCGTGTTGGGATGAGGGATTTCAAGCGCCGCAGATCGCGGAATATGATCCAATCACGGAAAGGATCAGAGGTAATTTACTTGTTTAAGGTCACGGGTGAGAGGGACGAGACGATCGAAAACGATGGAGCAGTCGCACTGTATTTTATCAATGTATTATGTTGTCGATTTCATCGTCCCATTGATCCGTGCATATGACAGTTCTCCATACCATTTGCACACACACACGCACCATCAGACTGTTTGCTCCCCTATGCTGCTCTCTGTTGTCGTTCTCACGGGTCTCATCGATCCTTAACCATGATTGACCGACCCTGACATCAATCTTGACAAACCCCCCGCACACAAGTCCACAGGCTTACCATGGTGTCTTTAAACGACGTGTCCTAATTACTAACGTTCACGCCCAGCACACTGACTGGTTCCCCCCTGGGTCACTTTCTACCCTTCACTATCGCAGACCCACGTGCTCCTGTTTTACATCGTTTGGTTTATTTGTTCCACCGCGCTGCGCGTTTCCTTGATAGCACCCGCACTTGTTGAACTACTTACTATAGTGTCACAGTTTGAGGTTTATATATTTACACTTTTGCAAACATCTGGGGCTTTTCACACATCTGTCTACGTGTATCATCGTACCTGTGAAGTTAACACTTACTTCTTTGCGCTTTTTATCAGAGAGAGAGTACCGGAAAAGCAAGGATTGTCATGTGACACTGAGAAATTGGAGGATTAAGATGGTTGTGCCAAGATTCGAGATGCTCCCTCGAAATAGGGCTAATGACAATATCGATTTACCCATGAAACATCATAAATTTCATGAAGGCCGCTTATTTCATCTAAGGAACCAGTCAAAGGAAACTGGAGTTCTCTGAGAGGAGAATACTCCCTTTCATTTTCATTGCCAGTGGTGAAGGTGATGACTGATGTAATGCTTGTAAAAATCAAAGAGAGCAAAGAATAACTCATGTTAAATAAACTGTAGAGTTTGAATGATTTTTATGAACACGTTTGACTGAATGGATTTACAATCGAAAATGTATTCACTGTCTCCATGAAAGTTGGTGGACGCAATGTTATCGAAGTTCATTGATTTCATCATGTGAGTGCTGGCAGTTAGATGCTTTGGTTTATGTTTGTGTGATACTTTACTGGTAAACCGTGTGATCCTCATCAAATGCCTAAGCATGGTTTTGACCAGAGATTGATCTACCGTCCGTGTTACATTTTATTTATCAAATAGTTAAGGTATCAAATTAGTGACCAGGAAATCCCGAGTTCCAAACGTTCCACCTCTACCCATCTTCCCCAGTTTGATAATTTCCCAGACAACATTTACATGGCCACAGACGCCTTCTTGAAAGTTGAATACAAATTTGCATATAGTCGATCGATAAAAAAGATGACGTACGTTTAAATTTGAGCCCTTTTATTTCAATAAATAATATACATAAATCTTACACCATTTCATTAGTATTACATTGTTTTTGAAAAATGAATGGAGAAATGGCTGAGAATTTATGCTTTCACCACAAACAACCATTCGACAAAAGGCAGTGGGGTTTCTACCCTATTTAGTGGATTGAAAACTACCGCGTGGTTTTAAGAACATAGCAATGGGAAATGAAAAACTCAATATTGAAGTTCCAAAACGGTCCTTTGACGGATCGTTTCTTTCTTGATCATACTCTAAGCCAAAAGGGTGATAACGCGTGGAACGAACCACTTGTGACGATTAGAATTGTGCTGATTCACTGTAGGAAAGAAAATGTTATCACATGTACTTAAGCTTTTTGCCATGAGCTAACCAGCTAGCAGTTTTCAAGCATCGCTCAAACCGCATACCAACCACCCCAATACTTTACACCAAGGAGGCAGAACATAACTGACACAAAGAAAAACACTGTGACTGTACTTGATCATTTGAACATACCATTCGGCGTTGCACATTCCATACATAAGAAAAAGCAATTTTAAATAATGTCTAATGTTCTTGATTTTATCATATTTTTTGCTCCAATTAATACACGTTCTTGGGGTATCTTGACAGGAAGAAAATGAACAACGTGAACGTGTCATGGATCGGTTGGCGGACAAGAATAAAAATCAGACAACAATGGATTTCATACCGAAACGCGGTCCGATCATTGATGAATACGGACCGGGGACAGTGTTCTACCGGAATAAGGAACGTCGTGAAGCCGCCAATCGCAAACTACAAATGCAACGCGTAAGTCAACATGGTCATTTAGGCCAATCAACTGTACATGTCTAGGTCACCTGCCTGTCAATTGGAAAATCGAAATGAGCACATTTTTTACCAATAGACATAGAGAAGCTATTGAATGCGACTTGTGGTTTGAGCTTCAGTTCGCCCCTCATTGATTGTGAAATTAACCATTATTCAAAAGCTTCCTCGATTATTTCATTATGTTATCATCTTGAGTTAATGATCCAAGGTGAAATGCTCGGTGTACCTGCTATGCTAAGTTGCAGAATCTCTGCGGTTCCCATCAAGATTTCGTACTCGCGTTTTCCCAGACCAAATCTTCTCGATCCTGCATAAGTGGCGTCATGTCAAACACAGTTTGCATAAGGATGCTTCTCTGTTCGGCAGTTGCTCCCTATATTCACCCCGTCCAATAAGTTGACACCTTTGAATGTGTACAGTACGCTTTGATCAAATGGTCATTTCTGCGCTCCTAATATGGCTACACTCTCCAGCGATTTTCGTCCCTTTGATCACGTCGCAACCTGCAGATGCTTTTTGTTAGCTTAACATTGTTCTAGATTGTGGATTATTTAGAACCCTATCACAACCCCGTCCGTTTCTTGCCTTATGGTTTACCATTTAACAAAGGCTTCTCTTGCTCCTGCGTTCGGTTTTTTCGCAATATTCTCATTCAGCTGTTTATTGTTTTGCTTATCGGTATTGAACAAAGTTTTGATTGCTTACTTTTTTCTGCTTGCACATCGAATGAATCGCGCTGCTTGTACTCGACATCACTGACGGCATTCCCTTATGATCGTTTCTCTGCGGAAATGTCCCTGCTCCTGAAAGTTACGCGCTCTTTCGTCTATGTCTAAAGCACTTATATCACTTGCTTTGGCGTATTCGCATTATGCAGTTGTTTAACCTCAGCAACCTTCGTATCCGTGTTTTCAAATTCGCTTTTTTGTTAGCATAACGTGCTTTAAGTGATTGTTGTAAGTTACGTACAAAACTAAACCGAAATAATATACGTACACCTGACGGTTATTCAAAGTAGCTGCTCGAATAACTAACTTAGTTAGTTCGAATTAAACAAGTATCGGAATTTGAGCAGAATTGGTACTGGGTTAGTGTTAGTGTTCACTTTGCGCTTTGCTCCCGCGACTTAGTCTCCATTACATCTGCGTGGAGATCTCGGAATTCTGCCTCACTGCCGTCCATCTCCCTCACTTCATTGTGTTTCTTGATGACCCTTGCATATCTGTTTTCTCTCTTGTAGAAAGTTGTTTAATCAACCGGTCGTTAAATATGAGGAAATAAAGCTTTTCCTTAGGCGTTATTTTTACTTGATTGCCTGGTAAATTGAAGATTAATTTTTCCAGGAAAGTAAGTGGTCGAATTTCAATTACTGGATAAAAAGTTTGAGGAATAGGAGCGGATGGTAGCGAAGTTTAATTCAGGTCTTATGCTCTAATTAACAACTATTATTCGGAGGTCTAGCTAATCTGCTTGAGTTCAGATCACCTCAGAATAGTAGAAGAAACTGATACAGTCGTGGTGGGAATCAAAAGCCGAAACCAACGATTGCGTTCGGTTGCGGAGAGGACTGTTAGTGGTCGGTTTGACTTTCTCCCACGAGGTAAACAGCCCGTAGCTAAGTATTGTGGAAGACCGCGTCGGGCTGATGGCAACGGTCACCATTTCGTCTCAGAACATTTAGTGCTGTAAGATATCCAACTCGACCACTAATAAATGTGTGAATAAAGTGATTAAACGAAGCGTGTTTGCAGTCAAAATTGACACCTCGCATGATTCATAGATTAACCTTATTCGCGTAGGTTATTGACAGTAAACCCAGCTTAAATGAAATCAGTGCACAGTTAAAACGGTACTTGGTTATTCTTTTGTATTTCCATGAAACCCTCTCCGGCAACGCATGTGAACCAATGGTCGCCCATCAATCAACTTATCCATCGGTCCTACCACCTCGTGTGCACACGCATACGCACATGTGGGCGTTCAGGCGTTTGGGACAGGTCGTCAAATCAACACGTCCTAGTGTTTACAAACTTGCCTGTTCATCCTTAATGTGAAGCGTTTTTCAACGGAATTTACCAATTCAGTCAAATTTAGTTCGCGTAGCATACGATTTCTATCACAGACACGCAAACATTTCTCCAGAACACTGCTCGTGCATTGCCTGATCCGGGCCACCATATGTGCTTCATTTCATTGAACACTATTCCGTCTGTTCATAGTTTGTCTTTAGTGAATGCGAATAGAATAAATCAGTTAAAAGAAAATGATAATTCTTGGTGGATTCGAACCTTGTACCTATTGGTTGGGTTCACAGTTGGAATAAGCATGTATGTATGTATGTATGTATGTATGTATGTATGTATGTATGTATGTATGTATGGCTTTCGTTTTTCTCTCACGTTATCGATCAAAATGACGGCTTCAACTTATACAAAAGCACACCATTTGCGTCGTTCAGACAATCTATAAAGGAATCATGATACAAGGTCCCTTAGAACAAGTAAATCATTGGATAATTTCTTTTGCGCGCTATTGCCAGATTATTCGAGCTAATTCAAGCAATTGTCTAAAGCATTCATGGGCGAAATTCTATACTAGCCACAGCCAAATAAAGAAGACAGTGTTCACTTAGTGTCATGCTACGTCCTTGAGGGAGATCGCACACGTCCAGGTCTCCGGAAACACCTCATTAATCGATCGAGCCGTTGGTCATTGCGGGTGCAACCAATATTTCTCAGCTTCGCTTGGGAAGTTAGCCATCTGTGACCCTTCGATTCTGTCAAAGATAAGAATATTGGTTTTCACCTCTTCACTTTAATGGAAACATCCTCAATAGAGGGTGGCAGTGGATAAGCAATAGGGTGCGATGCGTAGAAATTGGGAGCATAAAATGGGAAAGAATGCGGCTTTGTTCAGCATTGAAGAGCCTGAGAGTTTACAATGTAAGCATAAACGACTAGGATAAGCCGACTGGTATTCTGCTAATGATTTATTTCTCTAAAATTCTGACCAAACTTTGAGACAACATATAACAATCCATAAGAGATAGCTATTTTTGTGGAGTAGCACCCTAAAACTGTTTAATCAAAGTAACGTGAAAACCTTAAGTCGTTACAATATTTTTTAACCCAAAAGGCACGCTAGTTAATATCATTTGGCTTTTATCCCCTCTTGATCAGAATGCGCATTCGATTTTACCATCTTTTGACTAATTTTCTCAAAAAGTTATCAGCATTTTCTTGCCCCATTTTGTAAGTAAGATTTACTATAAGGTTATCGCTCCTGCCGTGAACTGTGTCGTGCGTAAATTCATTCAGTTGGCTTTACGAGTCTTCTCGCTGCGGATGAAGGAGTGAATGAAATACCGACTAATAGTAATAGTTAGTGTTGTCCTCCGAATGAACCATATAGCTCAGGTTGTAAAGGAAATTGTGGCGTAGTCGAAAACCTCCCTACATCCATAAGGTTTTCCAAACGGATAATCGTCTCCTGTGTAGACACGATTTTGATCCGTATCCTGTTTAAACAATCAAAACTACGGCATTAAAACTTGTTTCCGAATGATCGTCTAAACGGTCGTTTTAGCCGTAAACTTAACCAAACTACTCCCTCATGACATTGCTTGATTTAACTTGTTAATTCGATTACTCCATAAACTTGGGATAGATCATTTGCGGAAGTTTGTAAAGCCTGCAGTTGTATACAGACAGGTACCTTATGTGTATTTAGTTTCCACAGTATCCGTACATGCCTTTAGCTAGTGCTCAGATAGAAATTCACTGCTGAATGATCCAGTATTTTGAAACACTACGGAACATCTAAGTCAAATTTAACTCCAAAATGCGATTCAATCTATCAGTTCCACCAAAGATCACTCATTAGCTTACTCATAGGCTGCAGTGTGAATAATGCACTTGATGTTGTAACTTCTTTTCCTCTGTTTGTTTCTTGGTGACCATTTGGATGGAATGAATCTGTTACCATTTCCATAAACCATAAATTTACTGGATACATTACAAATCGCCAACTGGAGTTCTGCGGGCTAGTTTGTTAACACACAGCATCAAGCATCAAGCATATACATATATTTCGAAATATGCCCATACTCGCATTTAGAACACCAGAAATTTGTGTTCCGTATACATACATGTACATACATATACATAATTAAATCCATGGCCCATCTGCAAGCCATACTCCTAAGGTGAAGATCGCGTCAAACTCGTTAACCGTTTTGTTTCGCATTCGGCACACTGAACTTGGCAAATGGTATGCGACTAGCCAACCCCTCTCTCAAGGAAGAAAACACCATATATGTTTTCATCTAGAATATTATTTTGAACCCAAGAGAGTTGTGGTTTGAGTCAATTGTTAGATAATCTTCGTCATCTATCTTCACGTGAGTTTGACTTATATTTTTTTTAACAAGCTCTGAACTGGTGTGCAGATGTAATTTCAACAACAAACATCAATGATCGGTTTGCTTGTAGTGCAAGGGAACCCACATTATAATATTACAAGGTAACTCACCATGAAGACGGCGTTTTGGATAACCAGTGTTCATTTTAAATTGCACACTTAAACTGTTGAAGAAGACTTAGATTTTATTATGCAAAATCTGTGAGATAGTCAGAGATGTCTCTAATAAAATGGATACTTACGTAACCTGTGTTGTTCGCCATTTTCGCCAGACACGAATACTTTGCATCGCGTTATTCACCCCACCTCAGCCCCGGTCTTTACAATTTGGATGAACATGAAACATCTTGTGGTGCGTGCGGTTCGTCAATTTTACTACGCCACTCTACTTCAATAAACGGTCCACTGGTCGTCCAAGCGTGTACTGCTTTAAACTATATGCGAGCAAAAAATGGGAAGACAGTCAAAATTCTAAGTTCGTCATTCATAAACCCGCACTAGCTAAATAACATGTGCTAGAATTAGGGAATAGTGACAACTGAATGTAGTTTGGACAAGAA